GCTTAGTGGTTAAAGGCACTGGATTCTCACATGGCCGACTGCAGTTCGAGTCCTAGACCTGGCAGCTTGCTTTCTCACTTTCCCTTTCTCTTACTCTCTGTCTCTCTCTCATCAAATTAAAAAATAATAATAACAAAAAAGAAAGGAGGGGGCCGGCAGGTGGTGTGGTGGTTGAAGTGCTGGACTATGGTTTGAGTACCAGACCTGGTGGCTTGCCTTCTCACTCTCCTTCTCTCTCTCTCTCTGTCTCTCTCTGGTCAAATTGAAGAACAGTAATAAAAATTTAAATTAAATTAAATTAAATAATTATTTAAAAAACAACAAATGGAATTAACTAAATATTTATTTATTTATTTATTTTGGGGGAGGTTTTTGCTATAGGGCACGTGTGCTTGCCAGAATGACAGAGAGAGAGCCGGAGACAGAAAGCGAGAAATCACCCCCCACAGGGGATGGCCACACCACAATCCCATCCCCATTCTCCTTTTGGGATCTTGGGCACACACAAGCACCCGGCGTTAAGTTTAAGCCACCAGCTCTGGGACTTGAACCGTGGTCAGCTACATGGGAGTCCAGCGACATAGCCATTATGCCAACTGCTGGTCCCAGTAAATAAAGAATGCTTTAAAAAATAGTTTTGTTTTTAAAAGGTGTTATTTACAGTTGGCTCTCAGTATCTGTGGATTCCACAGTTCAACTGTGAATCACAAATATTTCGGGGGCGTGGGGGGAGTACTGCTCATAGAAAGCCAGATTCCATCGCAGTTTGAATCCCAGCCCTAGTGGCATAAAAAATACACCAGGTGCACATGCAGGCATGCTCAAGATCTGATGAGATGGAGAAACAGAAAAAAGAGGATTGCAGCGTGAACTGCCCCATCGAGGGGTCCTCTTCTTCCCTTGTACCCCAGCCCCTGCAAGCTCACTTGCCTTTTGGCAATTAAAAAAAGAAAAGGAGGGAGGAGCGAAGATGGCGGCCTGAGACGTAGGGCCAGCTGGCCTCTGGGCTGGCCTGGGAGGCTGAGTTCATTTGCCCGGCAGGGAGCCGGGGGCCCGGAAGGCGGATGATGGGGGAACAAGCAGGTGGTTCCTTATCATGAGAAGAACATCTTCCTTAACCTTTTGGTGCTTTTATATTCATCTTGAAAACAAAATTAAGGGGAACCAGCAGTTAGCGTAATGGCTATGTCGCTGGACTCCCACATAGTCGACCACAGTTCAAGTCCCGGACCCGGTGGCTTAAAACTCACGCAGGGCGCGTGTGCGTGCATGCCCAAGATCCCGAGAGGAGAAGGGATTGCGGTGTGACCATCCCCCCTGGGAAGTGATTTCTCGCTTTCTGTCTCTCTGTCTGTCTGTCTGGCGAGCGCACGAGCCCTATAGTGAAAACCTCTCCAAAAAAAAAAAAAAAAAAAAATTAAGAACTCAGGACTTGGCAAGTATCTGTTCCCTTAGAGTGGGTAGTCCTTTTATCTAGCCACTTGCCCTCATCCTGAAATGTGCATCTCCTCTACACATTACCTCCGTGATTTAAAATAGAAAGGCTGCTTTTCTTTTTGTGTCACCGCTCAAATTCCACACAGAGAAGCTCCTAGGATAGAATTACCCTGCTGACTTCTCCAGGAAGAAAGAAGCAACTGAGACGGCTCTTCTGCTGCTGTTTGATTATGAAGAAATTATTTTGCAAGCTGAAGGCTGATGCTTTGTTGAAAAGGTTGCTTAGGTAGTCGTATTTATGCATTCTTTACCTTTTTTCCTGCAAATAAGAGAACTAAATAAATAATAAATATTAATGACTTAAAATAAATAAAATAAATAAATACTGAAAGGAGGAGCAGCTGTGGGTGTGGTAGGTAACACAGCTGGATCCCACGTGGCCCACAACATGGTTCAAATCTCAGACCCTGGGACTTAAAAAACACACCAGGGGGACCGCAGGTGGTATGATGGTTAAGGGTGTTGGACTCCCACATGGCCGATGGCAGTTCAAGTCCTGGATCTGACAGCTTGCTTTCCCACTTTCTCTCTCTTTCTCTCTCTCATTCTGTCCTTCTCTGGTCAAATTAAATGAGGTTAAATAAAATAATTTTTAACAACAACAAAAAAAGGTGTGTGTGCATGCCCAAAATACTGAGAGAGAAATGAGGAAGAAGGGATTATAGCATGGTCATCCACCCTGGGAGTACTTCCTGCCAATCCCCATCTCTCTCTCTCTCTCTCTGCATGTAATCTACAGCAAATTAAAAAAAAAAAAGATAATAAAAACAATAGGGGTCAGCCCCATAGTCTAGAGGTTAAGGGAGTTGAGTTGGATCATACATGGCTGACCACAATTCAAATCCTGGCCATGGTGGCTTGGAAAAACATGCCAGGCTCATGTGAACAAGTGCCCCAAATTCCAACAGGATGCAAAAGTGAAGAAGGGATTGTGGAGTGACCACATCCCAGTAGGGACTGCTTTCTCCTTCTCTTTTTTCTCTCTCTCTCTGTCTCTCTTAGCAAGTGTACATGCCCTCTGGCAATTAAACACACACACACACAATAACAATACGATAATAAAATTGAGAATAAAAAAAAAAAAAAACACACACACACACACAATATAGGGCCAGTAGGTGGCATGGTGGTAAAGGCACTGGACTCCCACATCGCTGATCGCAGTTCCTGGCAGCTTGCTTTCTTATTTTCTGTCTGTCTGTCTGTCTGTCTGTCTGTCTCTCTCTCTGGTGAGAGTGTGTGCCCTATAGCAAATTAGAATATAACAACAAATGAAATTAAACAATTCTGGGACCAGCAATTGGCGTAATGGCTATGTCACTAGACTCTCATGTAGTCAACTGCGGATTGAGTCCTGGACCTGGTGGCTTAAACTCACGCCGGGCACATGTGCATGCAGTCCCAAGATCCTGAGAGGAGAATGGAGGAGAAGGGATTGCAGCAGGGCCACCCTGTCTGGAGGGGGATTTCTTGCTTTCTGTCTCTCTGTTTCTATCTTTCTGGTGAGCACACGCGCCCTATAGCAAAATCTTCTCAAAAAAATTAATTAAACAATCCTTTTTTTTATTTTTAGAGAGCTTTTTGCTATAGGGCATGAGCAACTGCCAGAGACATAGAGACAGAAAGTGAGAAATCACCCCCCCAGACAGGATGGCCACACCATAGTCTCTTCTCTCTTTTCCTCTCAGGATCTTGGGCACGCATGCAGGCACATGCCACCAGATCCAGAACTTGAATCATGGTTGACTACGTGGGAGTCCAGCAACATAACCATTACACCATTTGCTGGTCCCAAAGTTAGACAATTCTTTAAAAAAAATACAATATAGCAACTATCACACAGTATCTACATCATATTAGGTGTAAGTAATCTAGAGATCATCTGAAGTATATGACAGGATAGTGTAGGTTATATGCAAATACTATGCTATTTTAAATAGGGGACTTGGGCATCCATCCACTGATTTCAGTATCTGCCTGGATCCTGGAACCAATCCCCTCAGGATACTGAGGAACAATGATTTCAAAGGAACGCCAGCCATTGTTCCAAAACCTCCCTTTTGCTTTTTAATGTGTCTTTATTGTGCTTCACTGTGGGTCAACGTCTTTGGTGTTGGGACAGTGCCAGAGTACCATCCCATCAACAGAGTATGATACCTTAAGTTATTTGATCAAAACTGAACCAATAGAGATTTTGGCTTAAAGAATTAGGAGTTATTTCTGGGGGATGGCATTCTTCTCATTTTCCTCCTAAAATTTTGTTCCTTTAGTGACCTACTCTCCCTCTTAACCTTCTGTTGTCCACTGAGAACCTCTACCTGGAAATCCCAAAGGAGCCCAAATCTCAGGTGACCAAGAAGAAATAAATCATTTCTGGAGACCAGCAGGTGGCCTGATGGTTGAGGAGTTGAACTCCCACATGGCCAACCAGGGTTAAGAGTCCCAGACCTGGCAGCTTGTTTTCTCACTCGCTCTGTCTCTCCCTAGTTAAAAAAAATTTTTTTTAAGAATTATTTATTTAAGGGGCTGGCAAGTGGCATGGTGGTTAAAGGCGCTGGACTCCCACATGGCCGACCACTGTTTAAGTCTCGGACCTGGTGGCTTGCTTTCTCACTTCCTCTCTCTCTCTGTCTCTCTCTGATCAAACTGGAAAATAATGATAATGATAATAATAATAAAGTTAAATAAAATAATTTTTTAATTTAACTTTATTTACTCATTCATTTATCTTAATTTGACCAGAGAAACACAGACATACAGAGAGAAGGAAAGTGAGAAAGCAAGCCACCAGGTCCAGGACTTGAACCATGGTCAGCCATGTGGGAATATCCAGCACTTTAACCACCACACCACCTGCTGGCCCCTCTCTGGTCAAATTTTAAAATAATGATAATGAGTAAAATTAATAAGTCTTTCTAAAAAATAATTTCCATCGCTTGTGCATCTCATATACACTAGAATGTCTCAGATCCAGAAAACAATCCATCCACTGTGACTAGGACCACGGCGATAATAACGATGATGTCAATGGCAACCACATTCGCTACCGAAGCCCCCTTTTAGTGAGAACCAAGGGCGCAACAAGGGCAGAAATAAGGGGAACAGGGAGAGCTCCGTGGGGACCAAGAGCTCTTCCAGTCTCGCGTTGGGCAAAGTAATTTTGGGACCTTTGGAAGACAGCTTCTGCGTACCAACGGGACAAAAGTGACGAACATGTGTCACGGGGCTTCGCCAAGCAATGCTGAGCACCTGCGGCTGGCATAGAATCACCGCCTCCCCCACTGGAGACCGGGAGGGAGGCGTGGCTGGCCCCCACCTGCCTTTCGCGCCTTGCAGCCGAAAAGAGCTTAGCGGCTGCAGAGCCAGGCGCAGGCGCGCCAGCGGGCGTATTAGGGTTTGTGCGCACGCGCAGTCCAGGAACCAGGCCTGGAGGAGGTGAGGAAGGGGTGGGGCTGAGCCCGGGTCTCGCGCATGCGCTCGCTGCACAAACCATTTGGCGGGTTTTTCCTAGCAGCTCCGTTCAGCTCCCGTCACCGAGAAGCTTGCGGTAGCTTTCAGGAAACAAGACGTTCCTTCCGGGAGAGATTTCTGCTCCCTCCTCAGGGCGTTTCGGGGCTGTCTCCCACTTTAAAAAAAAGTATTTCTCTGCGACTGACGTCTGGGGCCTTCTGACAGCCTGAGGCGTTGGGAGGTTTGGTCACCACCTGTCTCGGTACCCGGAGGGTGAGAGGTTAAGCGGGCCCTTGTGCTGCGCATCGCTCTCCACGCCGTGGGTGTCCTGGGCGCCGGTAGGAGCAGGGCAGGCCGGCCCCCGTCCCGGGTCGCCCCCGGTCCCGGGTCGCCATGTCGGCGTCCGCGCAGCAGCTGGTGGAGGAGCTGCAGATCTTCGGCCTGGAGTGTGAGGAGGCTCTGATCGAGAAATGTGAGTCCCTCACCCCCTCCCCGGTCCCTGGTCCCTGGTCCTCAGCCCCCGCACTCAGCTGGGATCCACGCTTTGTCCCGGTGCTCCTGGAACCCAAAGGGCAGCGCTTCCAAGTTTCACGTTCCTTCCGTCGGAGTTCTCGATGGCTCTAAGATATGGGATTTGGGGAGTTTGAAACGCTCACGAGGTACCAAATCAGAAATAACACGAAGCGCGATTTTAAATCAACGCGAAGTGTCTGAAAGGTGACATTGGAACATGCTAATTTCAGACTAGGACCCGGTGGCATCCCGGAGTTTGGAGATTGTTGAAGTTCTGATAACAAAGCAAGAAATGTGGGATTTTTGAGTCGATTTTTTTTTCCCCTTTGCCTTTGCCATTCCAGCCTTCACCTTAAACTTGTGCTAATCCATCATCTCTGTTAGCAAAGCTGTTGGTGGTCTGTGCAAACAGGAATACCTTGAAGTGGCTTTCTAAAATTGAATTTTAGCATGGAAGAAACTTTAGGGAGCTTGTTGGCTCCGTGTTTACAGGTGGAGGAACGGATGGAGAGCTAATTTGCCTGGGCTGTCTGGGTATCCAAGTCTTCACCACTAGACTCCATCATACTGGTTAAGCTCTAGGGCAGTTATTTGAAGTGGCCATAGTCTCTGGGAGATGTGGAAGTTCTCCGTTTTAGAATCAGGAAGAATGTGCACCTGCCTTAACATTCATCAACACTTTGAACTTCTTATTGTATATATCAAAACAGACATGCTTTTATATATAAATTATATATTGAACCATGCCTGGTTTTACAGATAACTAGACCAAACATGCTAATTAAAAATAATTATTTAATTTTATTCATTATCATCTTCTATAAAAATCAACAAAAACTCAACAGAGAGAGAGACAAAGAGGGAGAGGAGAAAAATAAGAAAGCAAGCCACCAGATCTGGAACTCGAATCATGATCAGCCATGTGGGAGTCCAGTGCCTCAATCACCACACCACTTGCTGGCCCCCAGACATGTTCATTTTTGATGAGAAGTTTATTTCACAGAAACCAGAATACTACTATAAGTTCTTATGCCCACTATATTCTCTTCCTTGAAAGAGACTTAAATGAGAAACTCAATCATAGAAATATTTTTGATGAGCTTGAACAAAACAAGAGAAATTAATGAACCAAACTTAGAAAGTCTTGAGACCAAGATGCCTATGGCTTCCATCTCACATAGGACTACATTGGCAATGGTTTTAGAATTCTGTATCTTTGAATTTATAATCATTAACCTCAATGGGATCTTGATGTTACCCAACAATCATACTGTATTTCCTTCATTTATTCACCGAGTCTGTTAGATGACAGTTTTCTTCTCTCTCCTCCTTTCTCCTGTCCTCTTTCATCTTCACTCGCAACTGATAAACTTCCTGTTTCACTGAAAAAGTAGAAGCAATTAGAAAACTAACGTAAGCTACTACCTTTACTTCTTCCAACCAACCTGCCTCTACCATATACCTAGCCGTATCTCCTAGTACAGTGAATAAACACTCCATTTTCCTAGCAAAAACTAAACCCTCTTATGAGATGAGTCCTAAATCCCAGTCCTCCTCACCTACTTAAGGACATCAGTCCAGTAATGCTCCCCTCTTACATGTTTTCTATTTTTCTTCCACAAGATTTTTCCCCCCTAATAACAGAAATGTGGGTTTTTTAAAAAGTATTTATTTTAATTTTTATTCCTTCACTTATTTTAATTTGACCAGAAAGAGACACGGAGAGAAAGGGAAAGTGAGAAAGGAAGCCACCAGGTCCAGGGTTGGAACCGTGGTCAGACATGTGGGAGTGTCCAGCACCTTAACCACCATGCCCACCTGCTGGTCCCCTGAAATGTGGTTCTTACTCCTACTTTAAAAATACTCAGTTCATGGGACTGGCAAATGGTGTGATGGTTACATCGCTGGACTCCTACACAGTCTATTCCCAGACCCAGTGGCTTAAAATTCACGCCAGGCATGTATCCCTAAGATCCTGAGGAAGATGGAGGAAGGGATTGCGGCGTGGCCATCCCTCCTGAAGGGTGGTTTCTTGCTTTCTGTTTATCTGTTTCTCCAGTGAGTACCCGCATCCTACAGCAAAAATCTCTCTTAAAAAAAAAAAAATACTCGGTTGACCCTAGTTCCCACTCTAGTTCTCTTTCCCAATTACAGCAAGCTTCAAAAGGGTTGTTCTTATTTGCTGCCTTCCAATTTTTCCTCTTTGAATTCATTTCAATAAACTTTTCCTCCTACCAATTTACAGAAACTACACATCAAAGTCACCAGTGACCTTCATTTTACTAAAGTCAGTGATGAATTATCAGTTCTCATCCTGAATTATCAACATTTGACAGTGTTTATCACCTCTTCTTCTTTGAAACATGTTTTTCTCTAAGCTTCTTGGTCACTACCTAGTTTTTCTTTAACCTTGCTTGTGACCACTTCTTAGACTTTGCAGATTCATCCCATTTTAATGTTCCCAAATTTATATTTCAGCCCTGACCCTTCATATGAACTACAGGCTGCTCTGTCCACCTGCCTACTTGACGTCTTCATTTGGCATTTCAAAGTCTACATGTCTAAAACTACGCTCCTGGTACCCTTCCCTCTCCTGCTATTTTTCCCATCTCAGGTAATAACAATCCCATCCTTCCAATTTGGTAGGCTAAAAATAACACTCTTATCCTGACTCCTTTCTTTTTCTCTCCTACATCATATCTACTCAGTAAATCACAGTGATTTCACTTTCATGATGTATCCTATCTAGGGCCCAACCACTTTTCACCATTTTACTGCCACTATCTTCATCATCGCTCAGTTGGACCTTCATATGATTCTCTCAACTGTTCTCCCCGATTCTGCCCTTGTCTCTCTCAGTCTGTGCTTAACAAAGCAGCCAGAGTGATCCTGGTAAATAGAAGATTGTGTCACTGTTCTGTTCAAAAAAAACTAGTGGTTTCCCAACTGGCTCTGGGTACTAATGAAGATAATTACAATGGCCAACAACCTGCATCCACCTTTAGCCTTTCTACTCAGCTTCTGTCTCCTTGCTCACTGCATTCTAGCCACAATGACTTTGATGACCCTGCTTCAACCTTAGGATCTTTGCACTCACTGCTCCCTCTGCCTGAAAGCTCTTCCCTTGATCATTGTTTGGCTCACTCCTTCACTTCCTTCAAGTTTTTTTGCTTTGTTTTTTAAATTGACACAGTGCATATGGACGAGACAAAGAGAGGGAGTGTTCACTGGAAAGAGAGTAAGAGAAAGTGAAAGCATCCCTCAGTGGGGCATAGTCATGCTGCAATCCCATCTCCATTTCCCTATTAGGTTGGGATTTTGGGTATGCAAGCACATATACCTGGTGTTTTTATCCAGCCACTGGGGTTGGGATTCGAACCACAGTGGAGTATGTGGAATCCATCTTCCCTAACCACTAGGCTATGGGACTAGCCCTTCTTCAACATTTAAATGTCACCTTCTTACTAAGACCTTCTCTGTCATTATATTTAAAATTGTCAGTCCCTCCCTCAGCTTCCTAATGTCTGTCCTAGTTTTTTTTTTTTTTTTTTTTTCCTACATAGAACATTTAATTCTCTAAAATACTGCATAATTAACTTGTTTCCTGTCTCCCTCCCAATATAAGCTTCATGAGGACAAGGGTTCTTCTGGGTACTTTTTGTTTTTGTTTTTTAATTTTTAAATTTGCTATAGGGCACATGTGTTCACTGGAGTGAGACAAAGAGAGGGGAAAGTGAGAAAATACCTCCAGGGGTAATGACCATACCTCATTTGCTTCTCCGCCAGTATGTTTTTCAAGCTGCTGGGTCTGTCAGTCACGGAATCCAGCTGCCTTAACCACCATGCCACTGACTAGCTCTAGGATCCTTCTGTTTTGTTCACTAGTCTGTCCTTAATGTTTACAACATTGCCTGGCACTAACAGATGCTGAATAAATAGTGATTGAATAAATAGAGAATTATTTTCACTTTTCAAGGTGAAAACTGTAAGAAATGAACTAAGTTCTTGTCCACTTTTCCTTCCTACAGTGGTAGAGCTTTGCATTCTGTATAGACAGACTGAGGAGGGAATGGTAGGTGAGCTTGTAGCTTTCTGTACCAGCACAAATAAAGCTCACCTCACCTCGGAGATCCTGAACTCTTTTGAGCATGAGGTAAGAACAAACTGTAAGTAACTTGACATGTCTTTTCATTTCTGCTTTGGCGGGGCAAGATGATATACTGAGGAGAATATTAGCTTTGAAATCAGACCTAGAGGGACCAGCAGTTAGCATAATGGCTATGTTGCTGGACTTCCATGTAGTTGACCACGGGTTGAGTCCCGGACCTGATGACTTAAACTCACGCTGGGTGCATGTGCATGTGTGCCCAAGATGCCAAGAGGAGAATGGAGGAGAAGGGATTGCAGTGTGGCCATCCTCCTGGGGGGTGATTTCTTGCTTTCTGTCTCTCTCTGTCTTTCTGGCGAGTGCACGCGCCCTATAGCAAAAACCGCTCTAAAAAAAGAAAAGAAATCAGACCTAGATTCCAGTACCAGTATGAATTTGGGCAAATTACTTAATATCCCTGAGCTTCAGTTTCCTCTTCTGTCATTTTTCCTAAAAACCTATATATTTTTTGATTGTTGTAAGAATTAAGTGAGAATGGTGTTATTAGAATTTTTATTTGGTGGGAGGGCAGATAGTAGTGCAGTGGTAAAACACAACATCTCTGCAAGGCAATTCCACATGAGAAGGTTCTTAATTCAAGTCCAGAGACCTTCGTGAGTATGCCAGGCATGCCCATGATCCAGGGCTGACTGACGGCTGGGGGTGGTTTCCAGCATAGGGACCCTGTTGGAGTATGGCCTTTATCTCTCACTGATGGAAGAAATAAATAAACTTAATTTTTAAAAAAATTTACTTACTATTTTTCAATTTGTTATAGGGCATATATAGTGCTCACCAAAAAGAGAAAGAGAGAAAGTGAGAAAGCAAGACTCCAGGTCTAGGGCTCAAACCATGCTCGGCCATGTTGGAGTTCAGTGCCTTCACCACCACACCACCTGCTAGCACCCTACTCCACCCCCAATTTTTTTTTTTTTAATAATTTTTTATTATCATTATTTTAAAATTTTGATGAGAGAGAGCACAAGCCACTAGGTCTGGGACTCAGACTGTGGTTGGCCATGGGGGAGTCTAGCGCCTTTAACCACCATAACACCTGCTGGCCCTGAGGGTTTTTTTGGTTTTTTTTTGGAGAGGTTTTCGCTATAGGGCGCGTGCGCTCGCCAGACAGACAGAGAGAGACATAGAGAGATAAAGCGAGAAATCATCCCACAGGGGGGATGGTCACGCCGCAATCCCTTCTCCTCCATTCTCCTCTCAGGATCTTGGGCACACATGCACACGCGCCCGGTGTGAGTTGTAAGCCACCGGGTCCAGGACGCGAACCGCGGTTGACAACTCGGGAGTCCAGCAACATAGCCATTATGCTATTCCTGGTATTTTTTTTTTTAAGAGAGATTTTTTGCTATAGGGTGTGTGCACTTGCTGGAAAGAGAGACACAAAGTGAGAAATCACCCCCCAGGGGGGATGGCTATGCTGCTCTCCGTTTTCCTCCGTTCTCTTCTTGGGATTTTGAGCACACACGCACACGCACACACGCACACAGTATATGCCATCTGCAATTGCTAGGACTCAAAGCGCGGACGACTACGTGGGAGTCTAGCAACATACCCATTATGCCATCTGGTGGTTCCTTGGAAACTTTTTTTAGTAAGGAGAATTATATGTGTTGTAGACAATCACAAGATAATTATTTTCAGTCAGTGTGCATCTTCTAAATCCTTACTTTAAAGAATACTATATTTAGATTATATTTTGAATGCCTTTTTTTACCTCAGGGCTGTATAAAACACCTCCCCTATTACTGGACAGTGGAATAATATATTAACAATCTTTTATTCTTTAGTTTTTGAGCAAAAGATTGTCTAAAGCCCAGCACAGTGCCTCTAAGGACAGTGGACATGCAGGAGCTAGAGACATTGTTTCTATACAAGAGCTGTATCCTTTTCTGCCAAGTCTTTGCACCAAGCCACATACTATACTTTATAATTTGTCTATAATTGCGTATGTAATTTAATAACATAATAAAAATTACCTAATATTCAGATTTCTTATTTAACCTTATTCTACTCTTTCTTTAGGTGGGAGTTTATTATTACTGTTTTCCTTAACCAATATATTTTTAGAATTGAAGTAGAGGAAGAAGAAGAGACCCTCTTGAATTCTTATACCACACCCTCTAAGGTAAATATACAGTGTTTAGAAATTACTGTGTTTTTTTTTTTAACATTTATTTTTATTTATTTATCTATTTATTTGTTGTGATTTTTAAGCCTCTGGGACAGGACACAAACCGCAGGTAGCCATGTGGGAATTCAGCACCTTACCCACCATGCCAACTTCTAGCCCCTAGAAATAACATTTTACAAGTAGCATTTGTAAAGGCATTATCATATCATTTGAGTATCCAAAGGACAAAATTACCACCACGAACAGTTTCTACTATATTTCCACCTATGCATCTTCATTTCCAATTATATGCATAAATATTTTCTCATAGCAGTACTTGTGGGCCAAACCATGTGGCCCAGTGGTTAAGTGGATCCCACATGGCTGACCATGTTACTTATTTTTTATTTTTTAAAAAATTATTTATTTATTATTGTTATTGTTTTAACTTGCTATTATCAGAGAGGAGAGAGAAAGTGAGAAGGCAAGCTGCCAGGTCCAGGACTCAACTACAGTCTACCATGTGGAAGTCCAGCATCCCAACCACCACACCACCTGCTAGCCCCTACCCATGCTATTTAAAACTTGGTCTTGGTGCCTTTAAAAACATGCTGGGGGATGGTGGCCAGCAGGTGGCATGGTGGTGAAGGATGCTGAACTCCCACCAGGCGGCCGACCACAGTTTGAGTCTCAGACCTGGCCATGGCGGCCGACCACGGTTTGAGTCTCAGACCTGGCACGTGTGCATCCATGCCCAAAATTCCAACAGAATACATGGAAAAGGGGTTGTGTGATCATGCCTCACTGGGGATGATTTCTCACTTTCTCTCTCTCTGTCTCTAGCAAGTGCATGTACCCTGTGTCCAAAAAAAATTGTTTTTCTTTATTTTTTTTACATTCAGTCACTGTACAATTTTTTTTTTTTTTGAGAGAGATTTTTGCTATAGGGCACATGCACTCACCAGAAAGACAAGAGACAGAGAGACAGAAAGTGAGAAATCACCCCCCAGGGGGATGGCCACATCGCAATCCCTTCTCTCTCCTCCTCTTGGGATCTTGGGCATGCACACACACACGCCTGGCATGAGTTTAAGCCATCAGGTCCGGGACTCAAACTGCGGTCAAATATGAGAGTCCAGCGACATAGCCATTACACCAATTACTGGTTCCAACTACTATACAATTTTTCTTTAAAGTTTTTACCATAGAGTGCATGAACTTGCCAGAGAAACAATGAGAGGAAAAGTGAGAAATCACCCCCCTGATGGGGTGACCATGCCACAGTCTCTTCTCTTCCACTCTCTTCTTGGGATTTTGAGCACACATGCACATGTGCACAGTGTAAGTTTCCAGCTGCTAGATCCAGGACTTGATCCACAGTTGGCAATGTGGAAGTCCATGGCCTTAATCACTAAGCCACCTGCTGGCCCTCCAATTTTTTAACTCTCTTGTTAGACATCAATTTAATCATATATTAGGTTGACGGAGAAGTCATGACATGTTTTTTTTCCATGTTTTTCTATAAAAAATTTGTCATGACTTTTTCAACCACCCAATAGCACAGGTACCAAAAATGCATAAAGATTATGGGCTCAACTCATAGCTCAGCAGTTAAGGGAATTTGATCCTACATGGCTGACCACAGTTTGAGCTCAGCCTCTGCAACTTGAAAGGCACACAAGGCACATGGGCATGTGTGCCCAAAACCCTGATGGGATGCAAAAATGAAGGAAGGAAAATTATGGTATGACCATGCCCTCTTGGGAGGTGCTTTTGCTTTCTCTTTCTCTCTCAAGTACCTATATCCTCTGGCAATTAAAAAAAAGGATAAAGGGGGCCAGCAGGTGGTGTGATGGTTAAGGCACTGGATCCCACCTGGCCGACTCCACAGTTTGAATTTTATTCCTGTGGTTTGAAAAACATGCCAGACACATTATGCACATTGTCAGTATCCTAAGAAGAGAATGGAGAAAGGATTGCTGTGTGGCCATCCCCCAAGGGGGTGTTTTCTTACTACCTCCCCCCATGCCCTGCCACGAACACACCCAATCTATGGCAAAAATCTAAACACAGAAAAGGATAAGGATTATAACAGGGTGAGAAAATGCTTGTCATTAATGTAGAGTGAAACAAATCCATTTGTATGGCCAGCGGGTGGCATGGGAGATAAGGCACTGGATCCTACATAGTCAGCTATGTGGTTCGAGTTCCAGACAGGAAGGCCTGAGAATCACACTGGGTACGTGTGTACATGTGCTGAAAAATCCCAAGAAATGAGGAGAAAGGGTTTCAGTGTGGCCATTCCCTGTGTGGAGGGGAGTGATTTCTCACTTTCCCTCTCTCTCTCTCTGGCACTTGGACACCCTATAACAAAAATCTAAAAAGGAAAAACAAACAGTGTGCACAATATGTAAACTAAGGGGTGTGTGTGTGTGTGTATATAATATGTTTTTCAAGTCACTAAGACTAGGACTTCAACTGCATATTCAATCATATGGGACTCAGCCATGCCACTAACTAGCTCAGGTTTATTTTTATTTTATTTGTTTATTTTTTAGGTTTTTGCCATAATGCACACACGCTCACTGGAGAGAAATGGAGAGAGGGAAAATGAGAAGACACCCCCTAGTATGGCTGACCATGCTACAATCTCTTCTCCTTTCTCAGGATTTTGGGCACTCACATACCCCAGCATGACTTTCAAACTACTGAGTCTAGGACATGAACTACAGTAGACCATAAGGGAGTCCAGCACTTTAACCAGCATGCCGCCTGCTGGCTCTCAGGTTTATTTTTTTATTTATTTTTTTTATTTTTACTTTTTTTTTTTTTTTTGGATAGGTTTTTGCTATATAGGGCATGTGCGCTCGCCAGACAGACAGAGACATAGAGACAGAAAGCGAGGAATCACCCCCCAGGGGGGATGGTCACACCGCAATCCCTTCTCCTCCATTCTCCTCTCGGGATCTTGGGCACGCACGCACACGTGCCCGGCGTGAGTTTTAAGCCACCGGGTCCGGGACGCGAACCGCGGTCGACTACGTGGGAGTCCAGCGACATAGCCATTACGCTAACTGCTGGTTCCCTCAGGTTTATTTTTAAGCTGAGACTATAATTCATATATTTTTTAAATTGGGAAAATATTAAAATACCAGAAAAGAATATTCAAAAACAATTTTAATGGTAGCATAAAAGTATGTTTTTAAATCTATTTTCTGGGGCCAGCAGGTGGCATGGTGGTTGAGGCTCTGGATTCCTACATGGCCAACCATGGTTCAAGTCCCAGACCTGGTGGCTTGCTTTCTCACTTTCACTGTCTCTCTGGTGAACATATGTGCGTGATAGCAAAAAAATTTTTAATAATAATAAATTCTTTTTTTAAAAAAATCTTTTCGGGACCAGCAGATGGAGTAATGGCTACGTTGCTGGACTCCCATGTAGTTGACCGTGGTTCAAGTCCCAGACCTGGTGGCTTAAACTCATGCCGGGCGCATGTGCGTGCGTGCCCAAGATCCCGAGAGGAGAATGGAGGAGAAGGGATTGCAGCGTAGCCATCTCCCCTGGGGGATGATTTCTTGCTTTCTATCTCTCTGTCTCTCTCTGTTTCTCTGTAGCAAAATACCTCTCCCCCCCCCCAAAAAAAAAAATGCTTTTTATTGTAGCTATTTAATGATGGCTTTGAATCCATTCTCTTCTGACGCTACTAGTTAGCAACTGGGTGGCATAACTTCAAAATGCCATTAGGAGGAGCCCTAGAACAGGAAAAGCTTCTACAAATTAGCCAGCTTCCTGTTTGCAGTACAGGCAAGGATATTTGTCTTTTCTGCTATCGTCAGTTACCCTAGTCTTTATAGAGCAGTGTGTCTGTGAGTTTCATACTTCATCTGGGCTTATCTTTGGATCCTTGTCAATGAGCCAAAAGGAAAAAAAAAAAATTGCCAAACCCAGAAGTGATCATCAGTGAGCTGTCCGCTAACTACACTCCAAGTATGAGCTCAACCACGCTATCTGCCTGGAGTCAGTCCCCTCTTTAACTCTGAAAATGTGTGATAAACGTGGCCAGGATAAGTAGTAACAGAGTCCCATCCGTCTCAAAGATGGGTGTACATGGGTCAAAACAGTGTGCGTTGTAAAACTCGGCTCTATTCTAAAGCAAAGAGAGGAAGGGGTAGAAAGTGAACACGTGAATGATTTGACAGGACAGATTGTCAGATGATTGACAGGACAGCCTTTCCCTGGCAATCCCTTATTGCCCTTTTTGATAATTGCTTTCACAGTGAGCACGGCGTCCTGATGAATGTTAAGTTACTGTGGTTGAAGGTCGCTTTGTGGGATTATGTTTGGAAGACAGGGCCTTAAGAAGAGAACCAACCCCATCCTATTTTGTGCTTTTCATTTGGGCATCACTTTCCTTTTTCTTCTGTAGGAACTGTACACTTTGTTAACAACTTCGATCCAGAATGACTGGAATTTTGTTTTCTGGTTTTGTTTTTAGGGTTCTCAGAAGCGAGTTCTTGCCTCCCCAGAAACCCCCCTGACAAAAAGGAATGTGTCTGCCCGTAGCCCCCACCAGCTTCTCTCACCATCAAGTTTCTCTCCAAGGTATGGATCATCATGTATTCAAGTGCCAAAAAGCAAGCCTCCCTCCCCTTTCCTAACGATCTAATAGCAGCCAGCCGGACAGTAACTTATTAACCATGGCTGGAAGTGCATGTCTGTAGTGAGTTCTCTGGAAAGCACGTTGCTCTCTCTGCCTCCCCTGCTTTCTCTTCCTCTGTGGAAAATTACTGTTTCTTTCAGTCATTTAGGAAATTCACTTCCCACCTACTTTTCTAGGGCTCATTTCCTAGATCAGGAATTGATACTTTCTGTTGAGAACAATTTGTCTATTCAGAAGTTGAGGAGTTTTACCAGTCTTGCCAGTAGTGGCAAATAGGTTTTCACCTGCTTCTGTCAGTTTCTGTTTTGTTGGGTTTCTTTCTTTTTAATCTGAAGTATTTATTTTTTGAAAAGAAAAGAACATATCTTTGTTCGTAATGTTGCATAACCTGTTTATTGTCCCTCACTCAGGTTACAACTAGTTTCTGAGAATTTTGTCACTGTGAACTACACTGACTTCATTGGTATTTTATCCCTGCTGCCACCATTCACATAAATCCACAAAGATCCCATGTGATTTTCTGAGATCCATAAATGACATATCTTATATATTACATTAGAGACTTCCGTAGGTAAGTGCTCTGCTAGGGAGAAAGGTTTGTGGGAGCTGCTGCCAATCAGGATGAAGTTCAGGAGCAGAAAGTTAACCATTTAGAGAAATGCCAACTGTCAGCTGGAACTACCTCTCCTGTGACTTACTGCTTCTAGACTAACGAGAGCTTAGGAATTTTCAACTCTATTTCTTTAGAAAGGTGGTGATACAAGGTCTAGAGCCATTCAAGATGAGTGTTCATTGGATTTTTTTTCCTTGTTTTTGTTTTTCTTTCTTTCTTCCATGAGAACGATAGAGCGAGAGATAGAAAGTCAGGCACACCTAATAGGGTCTCACACTATGATCCACCCCCAACCTCTGCCAGCTGGATCATGGAATGCACTTATGTTGTATGTGCCTGGCGTGTATAAGATCCTGGGACATGAATCCAGGACCTTGCCCTGTGGGTGCAGTTGTGTTAGTGCTGCACTCCTGCCCAGTTATTAGATTCTGAAGGACAATTTGACTTTAGTTTGGTCCACTACTGCTTTGGGGAGTTCTCAAACTGTCTTCAAAAGCATGCTTCCGAGGACAGTTAGCAGTTAGCGTAATGGCTATGTCGCTGGGCTCCCATGTAGTCGACTACGGTTCGAGTCCTGGACCAGGTGGCTTAAACTCATGCCGGGCACATGTGCGTGTGTGCCCAAGATCCCGAGAGGAGAATGGAGGAGAAGGGATGTGGCGTGGCCATCCCCCCTGAGGGTGATTTCTCACTTTCTCTCTGCATCTCGCAAGTACACGGGCCTTGTGGCAAAAATATTTTATCTCTGCATCTCACAAGTACACGGGCCTTGTGGCAAAAATCTTTATTAAAAAAAAAAAAAAGGCTGAAATCTTTAGGTGCCATGAGATAGTGCAGTAGTGATCCAATTAGATCCACATCAGGGGGTCCTAGGTTTGTGTCACCAAACTTTACATGCCAAGTGTGTGCATATGCCTGTGATTCAGGCTTGCTGGGACTGGGGGTGTACTTCAGCATGGAAACCCTGCTGTGAGTGCTGAGAGAGAGAAATAATAATTTTTTTTTTGAGAGGTTTTTGCTGTAGGGTGTGTGCACTTGACAGAAATACAGAGAGACAGAAAGCAAGAAATCACCCCCCCAGGGGAGATGAGATGGCCACACCGCAATTCCTTTTCCTCCATTGTCCTCTTGGGATCTTGGGCACGCATGTGCGTGCATGCCAGCAAGGGAAAGCCATGCCACAATCTCCTCTCTTCCATTCTCCTCTCAGGATTTTGGACAGATACACACACGTGCCCAGCGTGAGTTCCAAGCTACCAGGTCCAGAACTCCAATTGCAGCCGACGGTGGGAGTCCAGTGATGCAACCATTATACCATCTGTTGGTCCTGATAAAAACTTTTTTTAAACAAGCTTTGTAGGCATACAAGGGCATCTTTAAAACCTGTTGTATATGGATGATTCTCATAGATGTGCCAGGACCATTACAGGAGCTCTAGTCTCTGAACAGGCAGGCCTTTGAAACCTGAAACCTGTGGATCTGTTTACAACTGGCTTCTCAGGTCTCATTGCATTAAAGGGCCTGCTACAATGGCTGGTCCACTGATCTGTGCAGGAAAGAGCTTGGAGAAGTTGACAGTATGCTGCCTAGTCATGTTTAATATACTCCAATAAAGCTGACCTCAGAAACTGGTTTTGTAATTTATGAAAGTAACTTATGAATTATTCAGGTAGAGGCAGCACTAGCGTTAGAGAAATTAATTGAGCTCATTTTCTGTAGCCTGTCTGGAAAGAAAGAATATCGGCACCGATTACAATGGCACCCCATGTAAAACCAGTCCCTATAGCATTTCAGTGCCTTGAATGAAACCCATTTTATTTTATTTTTTAAAGAATTATTTATTTAATTTTATTTGTTTATTATTATTATTATTGTTTTGTTTTAATTCACCAGAGAGAGAGCAGAAAGCCTAAGAAAGCAAGCTGCTGGATCCAGGATTTGAACTTTGTTCAGCCATGTGGGAGTCCAGTGTTTTAACCACCATGCCGGTTGCTGGCCCCAAAAGCTATTTTATTTTTTATAATTTTTTTTTCATTTAATTCTATTATTATTTTAATTTGACCAGAGAGAGAGGGCAAGTGAGAAAGCAAGCCGCCAGGTCTCAAGACACAAACCACGATCAACCCTGTGGATATCCAGTGCCCTTAACCACCATGCCACCTGCCACCTCCTTGAGAGCTATTTTAAGTAGATCTCTCTGTACATTATATTCACAACCAAAGAAGTAGAAAATCTCACTGTCATCTAAGCAGATCAGCAACATCCTTGTGTTCTTAGTGGCATAATTTACTACTTAGGGAGTGGAAATAGGGGTTCTTATCAGTTGAATCTTGGGAGAATGGGAATGTTTGCTCCTCTGCTGACTGTTAATTCGTTATAGCTTTACCTCCATAAACACTGAAGAAAGTTGACTAATTTTAACTTCACATTATAGTTTCTACCATGAACTATCGGGTTGTTGGGAATGTGCAGAAAAGCATAGAAAAATATGTTATGACTTTCCCAACAACCTAGTATGCGAGTTCTTAGGTATGCTCGGCAGCTTCTGGCCTATCCACAGTTCCAGGCTCAGATGATGTTCTAATGCACACTGAAAATTCATAAGAAGAACAGAAAATGGGACTTAAAAGTTCTTACTCAATTCAGTTTGAGTTTTATTTTGCTTTGTTTAGTTTTAATGCTAGGAGAATGACAACTTTTTTGAATATGTTTCTGTTTCTAAACGTCTCTAAACATGTTTGGTATTCCTCGGCCTGCGATTCCTCAGCCCCTCATTCCTGAAATTCCTTAAAGGTCTGGATATGTCCAGCACCATTAAGCTGATTAGATTTATGAACTGTGAGGCAGCTTGACTTTTCTCCAATCTCCGTTTCCAAAGGAGAACCTCATGTTATGCTTGTCTCCTTTTAGATATCAACACAGTAATATTCTTCTGCTTTGCTTCCATTTAGTGCTACTCCCTCCCAGAAATACAACGGGCGAAATAACCGAGGAGAAGTGGTCACCTCCTTCGGCTCGGCACAGGGAGTGTCTTGGTCTGGGAGTGGAGCTGGAAACATCAGCCTCAAGGTCTTGGGGTGTCCAGAAGCACTAACCTCCAGCTACAAATCCATGTTTCAGAAGCTTCCAGACATTCGAGAAGGTGACTTTTTTTCCCCTTGAAATTATGGTGGGTATAAAACTACTTAGGGGCTGGTTGGTGGTGTGGTAGTTAAGGCAGCTGGATCCCACATAGCCAACTGTGTGGTTCAAGCCCTAGACCCAGCAGCTTGAGAAACATGTCAGGCATGTGTACGTGCTTGCCCAAAATTCCAAGAGGAATTGTGGTGTGGCCATCCCTCTTGGGATTGCTTTTTTTTTTTTTTTCCAATAATTATTTATCTATATTTATTCTTAGCATTATTCTTCAATTTGCTATAGGGAACATGCACTCACCAAAGAGACAGAGACAGAGAGAGAAACAGAGAAAGTGAGAAAGCAAGCCACCAGGTCTAGGACTTGAACTATGGTTGGTCATGTGGTAGTCCAGCACCTTTAATTCCTCCCCCTTCCCCCCAAAAAGGCCCCTTTAATCCCCCCCCCTCCCCCCCACCCCCCCCCCGCCTCTCCAGGAAGCACATGTGCCCTGTAGCTAATTTAAATAAAATAAAATGAAACCACTGGAAAGACTTACAGTAACCAAGCTTTTGCTAGGCGGTAGAACAAGTTCCAAGGTTGCTTTCGATTATCTTAAGTTGGAAGATGTCCTCATGGATACGATCTTAGTGAAGAGACATCGGGTGACACTATGAGTAATTCTCTCAAGTCACACCACTTTGCTAAAGAAAAAGTATGTAACTGTTCCAGGGATGAAAACCTGGACCATGAAAAGGAATTCATCTTACAGTTAAAGATACTTACGACTTCCTCCTTGGAAGCCCTCTCCAGATTGACCTTGACTACAACCAAACTTCAGTGATAATCTGAGTAAAGGCAAGAGTCAAGTAGGAGGAGGGACTCTATGCTGACTCCTGGGTTGGCCAGATTCAGTGACCAAAGAGGAGAAAATTGGCGAGGGCTTTGTCTGTTTGTCCCAGACACCCTTTCTGTGTCTGTAAAATGGCTGATTTTAATTCTTTTTTGTTTATTTTTGTTTTTCTGGTTTCTTTTGTTTTTTTGTTTTTTTAGAGGTTTTTGCCTTAGGGCGTGTGTACTTTTTTCTGGAGAGAGAGAAAGATGGATACAGAGACAGTGAGAGGGACAGTGAGAGATTATCCCCCAGGGGGTATGACCACAACACAATCCCTTCTCCGTTCTCCTCCCAGGATCTTGGGCCTGGCGTGAGTTTCAAACCACAAGGACAAGGACTCGAACCACGGTCAATCATGTGGGAGTTCAGCGACATAACTGCTACGCCATCTGCTGGCCCTCTAACTAATGTTTTATAGTGTACTGTATTTTCTCTTCTTGGCAAGTGAAATGTCTTAACACAACACTTTTCTTTTTTACCTCTGGGATTACAGTTTTGACCTGTAAGATAGAAGAACTTGGCAGTGAACTCAAGGAACATTATAAGATTGAGGCTTTTACTCCTCTACTAATGCCAGCACAAGTAAGAGTTGTCCTGTGTTCACACCAACTGATACGCTTCTAACTCGATCGTGAAGAGGCATCCTCTTGCTTCCTTTTTTACTTCTTGTCTACGTTCTGGTTAGAATCTCTATCTCGGCCGAATTTGGTAAAATGGGTCCTTCTGAAGAAAGATTTATATGTAAGTGCCCCTCGGTTTCGTTGCCAGTGAGTTATTTTCTTCCCACCTGGATTGGCGTCTTCCACACCAGCAAAGATGAAAGGCCTTGTTCTCCCTTAGTGGTGAAGCACGTTGCCCCTTAGAGATTTCCCACAAACAGAAGCATCCGGTATCCAGCTCTAAGCCAGCAACAGGGATGGGGCTTCCAGAGGTTCCTTAAGCAGCGACTCACGGTCTCCCCTCGTTTGGTCTCTGTCACCACAGACCAACTGCTGCCAGTAGGATCTTCACATCATGGTTTAATCTGGCATATGAACCAGTGTTTTCTCTGTAACGTGTCTTTTAATCTAAGGAAGATTGGAAGATTGTGTAAGTTTCCTTTGTCACGTGTTTATATCTAGAGAAAAATGAACAATGACAAAGAAATGCAAAACCACGTCATTTAAGGAAGTTTTAGAGGAATTGAGAGGAAGTAGCGGAGGGGAGGCAGGATGCACAGTCATGTGGGCAGATTAGACTTCCTCTCTTTGCTCCCAAGGGTGGGGAAAGGACAGAGGAAGCCATGGGAGAGCGATTTCAACTCATTATAACGAAAAACTTCCTGCTAAGAGGCAATGTGGTGTGTGTGTTAAGGGTATGACCCTGGAGTCAAACTTCTTGACTTCAAACCCAGGTTTCACCCACAGTTTAATTTTGACTAAATTAGCTAACCTGACCATTATTCCTTTTCCTCATCTGTAAAATGAGTGCAGTAACATCCACCTTACAGTTGTGAAGATTAAATTAGTTAATACATGTAAACATGTCAAGCAGTGGTCGGTATTTAGTCAGCTCAGTAAGCGTTAGCTGTTATTGTGGTTATCCAAAGTGCACTGGGCTGCCTTGGTGGGGAGGCAAGTTCCCATCACAATTAGAGGGTCTTGGGTGGGTGGACTGGATGTCCCGTTAGGGTTCTTCCACCTGAGTCAGTGATGATGTCGTGGTCACCTCAAGGTCACAGTGATGCCTTGCCAAGCCAGTGTTGTTGTTTGGGGTTTGTTTTGCTATTCACCCTGTTGACTTCAGATTTTGGGCTCCTCCTCAAGACTGCCATTCTCATATTGCTACCTTCCTTCGGTAGGAGCCTGTCACTCTGCTGGGCCAGATCGGCTGTGATAGCAACGGGAAGCTGAACAACAAGTCAGTAATTCTTGAGGGAGATCGGGAACATTCTTCAGGCGCTCAAATTCCAGTGGACTTATCTGAACTCAAAGAATATTCTCTGTTCCCTGGACAGGTGAGATTAGAGGACTCTCCGCTGCTGTGCAGGTGGGCTGTTTATATCTGTAGTGTGCCCAGCGTGGACTCCTGGGTTTCCGCCTCTGACACCTTAGCCCCAAGAGCAGAGACTGTACTAGGGAGTCCAGTTTTTCCCTGTACACTGTCAGTCGGAACTTGGACTCTTACTGCCAATTCTAAGTCCCAGCTCTATCTACAAGGTGTGTGGCTGGGGGCAGGGGACTTAACTGTATAAGCCACAATGTTTTCAGTTTCATTAAGTGGGGAAAAAATGTTTCTTACCTCATAGCGTTGTTGTGGAAATTAGATCATGCATGGATAGCATAATTATTATTACTAATACAATGCCCTTAACTTGTTTTCTAGAAAAATGTCCTAAGTTTACAGTTACAAAATGAGGGTAGTAAGACAGTACTTTAAAATTGCGTCAAAATAATTAATCCCAGACCTCCCCAGCTTAGGAATCCTGTTTTGTTTCTTTTTCTTTTTTTTTTTTAAGAGGTTTTCGTTATAGTGTACATACACTCGCCAGAGAGACAGAGTGATAGAGAGACAGAAGGTGAAAAATCGCCCCCTAGGGGGGATGAGCACGCCGCAATCCCTTCTCTCCCATTCTCCTCTCGGGATCTTGGGCACGCACGCACACATGCCCGGTGTGAGTTTAAGCCACCGGGGTCCGGGGCTTGAACTGTAGTCGACTACATGGGAGTCTAGCGACATAGCCACTATGCTAACTGCTGGTCCCTCTTGATTCTTGTCTTTTAGGTTGTAATTATGGAAGGAATCAACACCACTGGTAGAAAACTTGTGGCCACCAAACTCTACGAGGTACACAGTGGTCCTCCCGCCTTCCCTCCTGGTTTGCTCCAGGCACAGTACGTGCACTCCCCCGTCCTAGAAACATCCTTGCTAGTCATTTCTCTAGCTGTTAGAGTGGGTACCTACCTCCAGGCCAGGGGTTAGCAAATTGTTTCTAGTAAGAGCAAAGAAGTAAATATTTTAGGCTTTGCAAGCCATATGTCACGGTGACTCACCCCTGCCATTGTGGTGCAAAAGCAGCCTTAGATGACTTGTGAATGAATGAGTCTGGCTGGGTTCCAGTAAGACATTATCCCCAAAAGTGGACTGCAGCCAGATTTAGCCGACAGGTTGTAGTTTGCCTATCCCTGGTCTAGACAACAGTCCTCCAGAGATTTCCGTAGAATGCCAGGAAAAGTAGCAAGACACCCTTTTCTCCCATCCTTGTCTAGAAGCATACTGATATTCCAGGCGCCTGTTTCCCTCCCACGCGTTGCTAGACATTTCATGAGAGTTTAGCAGTAACCTTTTAGTCCTTGACTTCTTTGCCACTCTCAGCAGTATAGAAAAATGGCAGGTCCCATCACCTCTGGGGGCTGTTCACTCCCAGGAGCAAGATCAAGGCCCATCCTTTGCCCTCTCTTTCATTCTTCCCTATTATCCTCCCACTGCACGCCTGTGAACACCCCTTTTATTACCAATTCAGTACCTGATGTAAAACCTGAGTTGAGCTTTTGTCCTTTTTTAAGGGTGTACCGCTTCCATTTTATCAGCCCACCGAAGAGGACAGAGGTAAGTTTTGGTTCAAAAATGTTTTTTTGCGGGACCAGCAGTTAACGTAATGGCTATGTTGCTGGACTCCCATGTAATCAACCGCAGTTTGAGTCGTAGACCCGGTGGCTTCAACTCACACCGGGCATGTGCGTACATGCCCAAGATCCCAAGAGGAAAATGGAGGAGAAGGGATTGCGGTATGGCCATCCCTCCTGGGGGGTGATGTCTCGCTTTCTGTCTTTCGTTATAGTGTACATACACTCGCCAGAGAGACAGAGTGATAGAGAGACAGAAGGTGAAAAATCGCCCCCTAGGGGGGATGAGCACGCCGCAATCCCTTCTCTCCCATTCTCCTCTCGGGATCTTGGGCACGCACGCACACATGCCCGGTGTGAGTTTAAGCCACTGGGGTCCGGGGCTTGAACTGCAGTCGACTACATGGGAGTCTAGCGACATAGCCACTATGCTAACTGCTGGTCCCTCTTGATTCTTGTCTTTTAGGTTGTAATTATGGAAGGAATCAACACCACTGGTAGAAAACTTGTGGCCACCAAACTCTACGAGGTACACAGTGGTCCTCCCGCCTTCCCTCCTGGTTTGCTCCAGGCACAGTACGTGCACTCCCCCGTCCTAGAAACATCCTTGCTAGTCATTTCTCTAGCTGTTAGAGTGGGTACCTACCTCCAGGCCAGGGGTTAGCAAATTGTTTCTAGTAAGAGCAAAGAAGTAAATATTTTAGGCTTTGCAAGCCATATGTCACGGTGACTCACCCCTGCCATTGTGGTGCAAAAGTAGCCTTAGATGACTTGTGAATGAATGAGTCTGGCTGGGTTCCAGTAAGACATTATCCCCAAAAGTGGACTGCAGCCAGATTTAGCCAACAGGTTGTAGTTTGCCTATCCCTGGTCTAGACAACAGTCCTCCAGAGATTTCCGTAGAATGCCAGGAAAAGTAGCAAGACACCCTTTTCTCCCATCCTTGTCTAGAAGCATACTGATATTCCAGGCGCCTGTTTCCCTCCCACGCGTTGCTAGACATTTCATGAGAGTTTAGCAGTAACCTTTTAGTCCTTGACTTCTTTGCCACTCTCAGCAGTATAGAAACCTGGCAGGTCCCATCACCTCTGGGGGCTGTTCACTCCCAGGAGCAAGATCAAGGCCCATCCTTTGCCCTCTCTTTCATTCTTCCCTATTATCCTCCCACTGCACGCCTGTGAACACCCCTTTTATTACCAATTCAGTACCTGATGTAAAACCTGAGTTGAGCTTTTGTCCTTTTTTAAGGGTGTACCGCTTCCATTTTATCAGCCCACCGAAGAGGACAGAGGTAAGTTTTGGTTCAAAAATGTTTTTTTGCGGGACCAGCAGTTAACGTAATGGCTATGTTGCTGGACTCCCATGTAATCAACCGCAGTTTGAGTCGTAGACCCGGTGGCTTCAACTCACACCGGGCATGTGCGTACATGCCCAAGATCCCAAGAGGAAAATGGAGGAGAAGGGATTGCGGTATGGCCATCCCTCCTGGGGGGTGATGTCTCGCTTTCTGTCTCTCTCTGTCTTCCTGGCAAGCGCATGTGCCCTATAGCAAAAACCTCAAAAAAAAGTTTTTTGCTAACGATGAAGGTGGTAAACCTGGGCCAGGAGTGCATTTCCTTGGGCTGCAAGAAAGCTGCAGAAGTTGTTAGAGAGTGACATGTTAAAGAGCAGCAAGGCCAGGGACTAGCAGTTAGCATAATGGCTATGTCGCTGGACTCCCACGTAGTCGACCGTGGTTCAAGTCCCGGACTCAGTGACTTAAACTCACGCCGGGTGCATGTGCGTGCATGCCAAGATCCCAAGAAGAGAATGGAGGAGAAGGGATTACGGCGTGGCCATCCCCCCTGGGGGGTGATTTCTTGCTTTCTGTCTCTCTGTCTCTCTCTGTCTTTTTGGTGAGCACACGCACCCTATAACAAAAACCTCTCCAAAAAAAAAAAAGAGCAGCAAGGCCACAGCCAGATCCACAGGCCATTTGTCACAAGGCCAAGAGTCTGAGCCTAGTGAGTATAATCATTTAAAGACTAACTGCACAAAGCATGTCATTTAAAGACTCATTTTTAGCAGATATTTTTAGCAGATATTTGAAGATTTGAATAGAAAAATGATGCAACTTTAAAATGATTTTTTTTTTTAATGCAATGTGGTATCTTACTTGGATCCTGGAAGAGAAAGAGGACATTAGTAGAAAAACTAGTGTGGGCGAATAAAGTCATTTGCATTCATAGTGATATACTAGCAGTAATGCCTTAATTTTGACAAGTGTACAGTAGTACAAAAGATGTTAACATTAGGTGACACTGGGTGAAAAATACAGGAGCCCTGTAATATCTTTATAATTTTCCTGAAGTTATTCTAAAATGTAAAAAAAAAAAAAGTTAGGGGCCAGCAGATGGCATAATAGTTACATCACTGGGCTCCCACATAGTCAACAATGGTTCAAGTCCTGGACCCAGCAGCTTAAAACTCAACGCCAGGCACATATGGGTACATGCCCAAAATCCTGGAGGAGAATGGATAAGGTATTGCAGTGTGGCCATCCTCCTGGAGGGTGATTTATCCCTTTCTTTCTCTCTCTCTCTCTCTCTCTCTCTCTCTTTCTCTCTCTAGTGAGCACAAATCTCTTTAAAAATTTTTTTTTTCTGTAAAAGGGCTAGCCTTAATGCAGAGGAGTAATGCATTGTTCAAGAGAAGCCAAATCCTACATGGCAGCTGTGGTTTGAATCCCTGGCCCAGTCAGCCTAAAACACTCTGGGCACGTAATGCATATTCAAGATCCAACAGGGTAGTGGACGGAAGGGAGGGGTTCACGGCTTGATCAGCTCCTATAGAAGTGCCTCTCTCTCTCAGTCTCACTCTTAAGTGCATTCACACACAATCTATTATGAATAAAGAAAAATAAAAAATAAATTATTAAAAAAAGAAGTTCCTAAGAAAGTCTAGTACTGGGGCCAGCAGGTGGCATGGTGATTATAGGTGCCAGACTCCCACATAGCCAACCATGGTTGAAGTCCCAGACCTGGTGGCTTACTTTCTCACTTTCCCTCTCTCTCTTTGTCTGTCTCTGATCAAATGGAAAATACTAATAATAACAAAGTTAAGTAAAATAATTATTATAAAATAAAAGAAAGCCTAGTATTAATTGATAACTAATCTCAAAAGGAAAAAAGCAAAAAGAAATTTTGTCAAACTTTGCTTTAAAATATTTCAAAGCACGGAACCAGCAGATAGCGTAATGGCTATGTCTCTGGATTCCCATGTAGTCGACCATAGTTCGAGTTTCAGATCTGGTGACTTAAACTCATGCTGGGCACATGTGCATGCGTGCCCAAGATCCCAAGAGGAGAATGGAGGAGAAGGGATTGCAGTGTGGCCATCCCCCTGGGGGGTGATTTATCGCTTTCTATCTCTATCTCTCTCTGTCTTTCTGGCGAGCACACATGCCCTATAGCAAAAATCTCTCCAAAAAAAAAATTATTTTCAAAGCACTTTTGTAAACAAATTGCAACACTATCAGGATGGTTTACACTATCATGTTGTCAATACTCCGTACACATAAACAGTGTTCAGGGTCTTTCTTAGAGATGACTTTGAATCAGGAATGAAATTTAGGAGTTTATGGCATTGCATATTCTACTAGAAAATATGTATCTATGGGAACAAAGGTGGCATGGTGACATTAAATCAAGTTAAGATAATAAGAGAAATTACATGATAGGGGTACCAGGAAGCCTTTTAATAGGTCCTTAACAAACTTCTTCCTTTTCTTCTTTTCTTTTAATTTGCAGTAAGGTGTATATGCTCACCAGAAAAACAGATAAAGTGAGAAAAAAACCCCGGGAGGATGGTTGCACCACAATCTCCTTTTCTCTCGGGGTTTTAGGCACACACACGCATCTGGTATTTCTCTCATGCTGCCAGTCCCAGGACTTGAACCGTGCAGTCAGCCACGTGGGACTCCCACATGGCCAAATGTGGTTTGAGTCCTGGACCTAGCAGCTTGCTTTCTCACTTTGCCTCCCTCCCTCCTTCTCTCTCTGGTGAGCACACGTGCCCTATAGCAAATTAGATAATAATAATAATAAATTAATACTTTTTTTTAAAGAGAGAATTTGTTAGGGGAATTGCAGATAGCTCACAAACTGGACATAGGGATGGGAACCCAGGCTAGGTACCAGGATAAGGGCCTAGGAACTCTATTTCCAGGCATCAGGGATCTCCCAGCTGTCTTATTTGGGCATCTTAGCTAGAATAGGTCTGCCCTGACCTTTTGTCCTTGGATGGTTCAAGATTCTAAATCTCAGAAGGAGCATGTGAGTGGCCTGGACTGGGTCATATGCTTGCCCCTTTCCCAGAGACAAGGGCACCTAAGACAGAGCACCCAGTTCATAGCCCCACCAGCATGCTCTGTGGGGGAGGGGGCTGATTTTCCAAGAGGAGAACAGCCACGGTTAGGAAAAGACTGACACATGGTGGTGGCCAGAAAACAGGTGCCCTGTGCCCCATCCCCAGTGACCCTCACTTGAAGTCTTTCACTCCCACCTGTCTTTTTGGACTCTTCAGTCCCCCACACTCTCCACCACACTGGGCCACCAGACACTCCCAAACGCCAAGCACACAAACCTCAGTGTCGTCCTGTACCCTGCCTTGCCCTTGCTCCCAGAAAATCCCCAGAAGTCTAAGCAAATCTTACCTAAGTAAATTGTTTCCAGATGGCCATCTTCATTATGTTGCTTCCATGCATTGCTGGAAAAGTGCTCACTGCATGTTCTAGTTATGTGTGTATCTGCCTGTCCCCACCACCTGGTGGAGGATTCTCTGAGGGCAGGTATGAGGTCTTTCTCCTCTTGGATCCCCAGAGCCACACACAGAAGGAGACTCTCAATAAGATGAAGCTTATGGCATTTTCCCCTAATTGCCTTCCCTCTTCCCACCATCTCCACATCAGTCTTCTAAATCAAGACCTTCCTATCCTTCCTCTCTCAGAGTTTGAACAAAGCATGGTCCTGGTGGCCTGCGGGCCATACACCACGTCTGACAGCATCACGTACGACCCCCTGCTTGACCTGCTTGCCATCATCAACCACGACCGGCCAGATGTCTGCATCCTGGTACGGGGCATTTCTGGACAGCTTCAGACAGGAGGCACAGTGGGAAAATTGTGGGGTTGGGCTTCTACGAGGGTCCAGATTATTAGAAAGCATGTCAATCTCTCCTCCTTTTAAAAAAGTATTTTTTAGTTCTTAATGTACATCTTTGGAGAGGCATACTTGGTCTTTGCTAAACCTAAAAGCCCAGTATTTTTTTGCCACCCCTCCCTGGTTTTCTAGTATCTTTTTTCCCTTGCCTCTGATAAAGCAAGTGCACCTGCCTGTGCGAGAGAGAAAGCTGAGCACCTGTGCAGTAATGCACTGCTCAGGGGAGGCTGGGTCCCACCTGGTGACTGTGGTTCAAATCCCCGGCCCAGTCAGGCTAAACATGACAAGCATACACACGAGAGCCCAAGATCCAGTAGGCTGGAGAACTGAGGGAAGGGGAATGCAGCATGGCCAGACCCTGTGGAGGGTGCTTCCCTCTCTCCCTTTCTTTTTCTTTCTCTCTCTCCCTCACCTCCCTCACCTCCCTCCCTCTTTCTGTCACTCTCACATGGATGTGCATGTGCTCTATTGTAAATAAGGGGAGAAAAAGAAAGACAAGCACCCTCCGTAATATCTGGTGATACTATGATCCCCTTCCTCTGGTTGTCTAACCCACTTGGTCTTGGGCACTTGGCATGTATGCCTGGCATATTTCAGGCTGACCGGACCAGGGATTTAAACCGCGGTTGCCATGTGGGTCTGGCTTCTCTTGAACAGTACGTTACTGCTGTGCCAGGGAGTTGGCCCTGATTTTATAGTAACTGTGCCAATATCTTACTACGTCAGCGTCGGAATTCATCTCTTTAAAGCTGAAAGTACTACTATCAGCATGGTGGTTGATTTCCCTTGCTAGGTCTAGAGAGTTAGAAAAAAGCCCCGTGTTATGGGGGCAGTAGTAATGGTTATAAGGCCCTGGGAGCCTCCCTCCATCCAGGACTCTGTGTTAGCCTGTGAAATTGGCTAGGTGCTTCCTGCCCCATCCACTAATTATACCCAGGCTCTGCGGGCTGCCTGGGAGGGACAGATGGACTCTGGGCAGAGAACCAGCAGAAAAGGTTATCTGAAGACATTCGCAGACTTGTGCAATTCTGATTTGTTCTTTTGGTGCCTTTGTTTCTCCCCCTTGGGCTGATCTGCAGTTTGGTCCTTTCCTGGATGCTAAGCACGAACAGGTGGAGGTAAGTGACTTGACTTGAGGTGGATGCTTGCATGCAGAGGAGCCCTCACTTATTTTCATCTTCTGGAATTTACCGTGCCTCTTAATCTAAATTAATCCTCGTGACCAATCAGGAAAATATAGCAGGACATTTTTATGAAAGTACCAAACTTGAGGAATTCATTTCACCAGCGTACAAGTCTGGCTGGTAGCAGGGAAAGGAGCTACAAATATACCAGGCTTGGTGTTCCACCGTGCTGTCTTGAAAGTGCCTTGACTGGCCATTACTTTAAGCTATAACTCGCATCTTGTCTTTTGATGGCCAGGATGGCCAGGACATCTCCATAACTGAGGGCTGGGCCCTCCTACGTTTTATCTCAGGATATTTTTATTTTCCATGGGAAAGATTCCACTCTTCCTTTATCCTATCTCAGCTTTCACTTAAGAGGATTAATTCTTCCCCCATCTCCTTTCCTGCCCTCAGCTACCCCTAGTTCCTTACAGACCTCTGTCCACATCTTCAATTATGCATCTTTAGCTCCTAGCCCAATTGCTGGCATCTAAGGGTCAGCTAGCAAACATTAAGCAAGAGAATAAATGCCAAACATCTACCTCTAAATCTCTCTCCTTTCCTTTCTTGCAGAACTGTCTGCTGACAAGTCCATTTGAAGACGTTTTCAAGCAATGTCTGCGAACAGTTATTGAAGGAACAAGAAGGTCAGAATTCAGAATACTGGACAGAACCTTAAGCTTCTTAGGTTTTTCTAGGGTTTTCCACTAAGAAACTGAAGCTGTTTAAAAGTAATGACAGTTCCTATTCTTTTGAACTGCCGAGATCAGATAGAACCCTTGAACTTCAAGTACACAGACGCCAAGTTAAGAGGCATCTTTGTAAAACACAAAGATAAACATACTTGAAAGGAAAAGGCTACCCATCCTCTCCCTTTGCTCTTTCTTTCTCTTCTTTACGTACTTCCTTTTCTCACTTCCTTTCATATAAACTAATATTCCATGAGAATCTTCCCAGGATGATTTTAAGAAGTGTTCAATAACGTACACAACAAAATCCTACGAGACCCCAAACATCTTATTATGTGAGTGGTTGTCGTGAGATGAGCCTAAGTTCTCCCAAGCCCGTGCTTCCCCTCATTCCATGGGCCACAAACCGCTGCCAAAAGTGAGCAGTGGGAGAAACGCTCAGTGAGGGTGGGGTTCTTGAGTCCTTGCCATGGGCCACACGGAAGGAACTGAGAGGTCACAGCAGCGATGACAGAGCTGTGCAGTTCTAATTTGAGAGGAAAGTCACTGTTCCAGGAAAAGTCCAAAGCTAGAAGTAGAAAGTTATTCAGGAAACGGACAGCCTCGATTCTTGTCCCTTCTCCACCAATGCCAGGGTTTGAAAGAAGCTGTTGTAGGTGATAGAGCTTCTCCTCCTGAGCTCATAACAAACAAACCTTCCCGAGGCTAAGCTTTTAAAAAACAAGTTTGTAACAAAGGTGGTTTTTAAAGCGAGATGGATAATCTTCCTTGGCTGTGAGAACTGATCTCAGAGTCGATTGGTCGTAACACTACCTTCTTGTACAGGCAGCAGGGCCACTCTAGTTGCCTCACAGCCAGGGCAGAACATCCCCTGACTTACCCGAGTCAGAGCTGGAGCTATTCCAGGGCCAGGCTGTGGCCCTTTCTGCCCCTTTCTCCCTCCCTCCCTCCCTCCACTGAAGGGAACATAAGTGCCTCTCCTCATCTTCCCCAGGCACTGTGACCCTAGGGAATGCTTGGAGTTTCTCAGGAGATAAGGCACCAAAGAACAGGAGTAGGGCCACATCCTCATTTGTCAGCCCTTAGGGCTAGGCAGGGCCCAGTGCTGGGCTGGGTGCTTTTCGATTTGAGGTTGGGTTTTGTTTTTGGCTCCTCACCCATCACCCCGTGTATTGACAGCAGTGATGCAAACAAAGAACAAGCCAGGCATTGTTACCCTGGGGGCGAGTACCCAGCGCCACCAGGCACTTTCATCTGCAGCCACTGTGTGCCCTGGGGCAGGAAGAGCTGCCCCACCCTTCCAGAAACAGTATATAAATGGTTCTCAGGTGGAGAATTTCTTCATATTCCTGAGAGGTCAGAAATGCAGAAAGTTGGGCTGATTTATCAGTAAAGCCAGAACCACTGAAGAAGCTCCTCAGTAGGCGCCAAGCAGAGCCTGCAGAGTTCTCATCCTGTCTGAGGGGAGGGAGCGGCTCTCAGGGCCTTCCCACTGTGATGTATGCAGTTGTGCAATGCTGAGCATAGTTGGAATTTTCTTTCTGATCCCTCCCCCTATAGCTAGTTTATAACCACGAGTAAGAGGACTGTTTCCTCCTTAACTGTTGCTCTTCCAGAGCCTCCTTTGATACAGAGCAGTCATCCTTTGCAGGCAACCAGCTGCTCCTCAGTCCTTTGCATCCATCATAGACTTTGTGGCTTGAGAGCTGGATCTGATTGTCCTATTCCAGTCACCCTGGCCTGTTTACTAGACATCCAAATGGTGGCCTTGAATAATTACAGTGACCTCAGTGTGAAAGGGGTCATAGCAAATATGCAAAGTTCCTTTAGTCTCAGATTCTGACTTTTCTGTTGTAGAAGTCTTGGTTCACACTTTGAATGGGCCTGACAAACGAGTGATAAGTGAGCTCAGTCACCAATACCTTGATCACATGTGAAAGTACCTATGTCTGTGCCTGGGAAAGCCACATTGTAAACACGAGAAGTGAGAGCCATTGGTAGATTTTAAACGTGCCTCCAAAGTCACACTTTACGCCTGTTTGGTTTTTAATAGGCCCCTCTGCCCAGGAAATTAAGGGAACCAAGGAAACAGGTTTTTTTTTTTTCTTTTTTTCCTTTCCTCTTTTGTGTGCCTGGGGAAAATAAACAGCTGGCTCCTAGAATTATAGCTCTTCACTTAGATGTTGTAACCCTGGAGAGTCTCCTGCTTCCATCAAAGGAAACATCTGCTGTCATCTATGCTTTTACTGTTGCTGTTAAATATTTCTTTCATTTTCACAAGACAGTCTGCTAAGGAAAAGAAAACTTGCTTCCCTAGGTGAGAGGGGAGGAGTGTGTTGGCTCAGCGAGAAGCCAGTCATGTTTTCCCCATCCATCTGAAAATGTCTATGTCTTCCTTGTCCAGTAATTATGTCCCATTGTTTGGTTAGTTGAGAAGTTTCAGTGTGATTGTCTGAATACTAAGTCAGTCTCAGGAGCTGATTAGCATGCCTGGTTTCTCCCTAGGAAAGAGGCCCCAGCCTAGTTGATTTTTGAGGGCATGTGTGGATACCAGAGAGACAGAGAAAGTGAGAAAGCATCTCCCATGGGAGATTGCATGCCACAATCCCTTTTTCTCCACTTCTCCGCTAGAGATTTTGGGCATCTGTGCACACATACTTAGTGTGTTTTCAAGCTGCCGTGCCTGGGACTCGAACCACACTGTTGACCATGTGGGATCCAGCTGCCTTAACTACCATGTCTCCAGCTGGCCCCATCTTCTCCTTTTTTTCTTTCATACAGTAGTTCCAGTCCTCTCCCCAAAAGTACAGTGCGACACAGAGCAGTGAGAAAGTATCTTAAACAACCCAAGCCTGATCAAGATGGCTGTACAAATCAGAACAGATTGTTTCTCAACAATGTCCCATGGGAAATGGCATCTCTCTCAGCAGAGTTTAATTTGAAAATTCTTCCCCGGATCTTGTATCAAGCTCTGACACGTCGGCTCTCTTGTCCAGCTATTCTGACTCAGTTGCACTCATTTTCCTTCCTCTCCTGTTTGCTTTTTAACAACAGTTCTGGCTCTCACCTTGTCTTTGTCCCGTCGTTGAGAGACGTGCACCATGAGCCTGTGTACCCACAGCCGCCTTTCAGCTACTCTGATTTGTCTCAAGAGGACAGAAAGGTACCAGCACCCTCTCCTTGACCAACAGGCAACTGGAATTCAGTGCACCACAATGACCCAACCCTGGCCTGGAAGTGGAGTGTGGAAAGTGGGACATGCATACAGCCTGAATCTTTTTTTAAAAACCTTTTTATTTTTAGAATTATTTATTTTATTTAATCATTCATTTATTTTAATTTGACCAGAAAGAGACACAGAGAGAGGGGGAGAGTGAGAAAGCAAGTCACCAGGTCCAGGACTTGAGAGGAAAGTCACTGTTCCAGGAAAAGTCCAAAGCTAGAAGTAGAAAGTTATTCAGGAAACGGACAGCCTCGATTCTTGTCCCTTCTCCACCAATGCCAGGGTTTGAAAGAAGCTGTTGTAGGTGATAGAGCTTCTCCTCCTGAGCATATGGGAGTGTCTAGCACCTTAACCACCACGCCACCTGCTGGCTTCCAGCCTAAATCTTGAAAAATATATATATATATTTTTTTTTGCTTTGCTATAGGGCACATGCACTCACCATAGAGAGAAGAAAGAGAAATCGCTCCGTACACGGAAAGGCCATACCACAATCTTTCCTCTTCCAGTCTCCTCCATTCTCCTCTTGCTATTTTGGGCACACATGCACATAAGCCAAGCCTGTTTTTCAAGCCACTGGGTACAGGATTCAAACTGCAGGTTGGCCATGTGAGATCTAGCCATGTGAATTTCTATCAAGGGGGGGAAGCATCTTCCAAATAAGCATGGTCATACCACCACACACACACATGCATGCACACATACACCCATTATGTTTTTCAAGTCATGGGGGGGCAGGATTCAAACCATGGTCAGCCATGTGGGATCCAGCTCCCTTAACCACTGTGCTACGGAGCCAGCCCTTGAAACCTTTTTTCTTTTTCTTTTTTTTCTTTTTTTTTAGGTTTTTCCCATAGGACACATACATTTGCTAGGGAGACAGTGAGAAGGAAAGTGAGAAATGACCTCCCCCAAGGGAGGTGGCCACTCTGCAATCCATTTGCCTCCTGGGATTTGGGGCATGTGTGCATGTGTGCCTGGTATGAACTTCAAGCCACTGGGTCTGGAACTCGAACCACAGTTGTCTCTGTGGGAGTCCAGCGCCTTAGCCACCACACCACCTGCTGGGTCCTAAAGCCTATTATTTTCAAACAGACAAACATGTGTATGAATTTTCTGTGTGTTGATTTGGCCCCCTATGCCCTTAGAGACCCCTCCTTCTTTATTGGGAAGAAGATTCTCATTTTGGTGTGCAAATGTTTATTTCTACCCCTACTCATGTTAGAGAGTGCTGTTTGTATCTGAGCCCTGCAGCCTGTCCATAAACGGAGTCATCTTTGGCTTGACGTCCACGGATCTACTGTTCCACATGGGGGCCGAGGAGATCAGTAGGTAAGCATAATCCAGGCCAGTAAGAAGGTAGTTGGCTCTCTGGATCCTGGTCCTTTTCTAGCCAAGAAAATCAAGGGACAGCTTGACAGACTCGACTGGCAAATTCTGAGAGCAGCGGTTTCTACCAAAGCCTTTGGCCATTTGAGTTTCTACTTAAGGGGGGCAGTGGATGCATTTGTTTTTGGTACTGCTTGTCTAAACAGTATTCAAGACCCCAAAAAACCATGGATGGTCTGTCTTCGCAGTTAACTTATAGGCATAGATGCTCATCTACATTTTCTTTACTGTCTTTTCTTCAGTTCCCAAATTTGAGGCCTAATTACAACTGTGGGTGTTTCTGTTTGTGGAAGATGAACTATAAAGTGACTCCGAAGGGTTTGCTTTGTTACCAGAACAGTGTGTAGCTCTGCAGAGAAGCAGACACAGCCAAGTGTTTTGTGTGTGTGTTCAGCAGTTCAGTTCTTCCTTCATCCCTGATGGGAAGGAGTATGTGAAGCAATCCGTGTGTTAGGCGAGATGGGTGTGTGCTTGTGGACTGAGGTATGAGGTGGGGGGGTCAGCCAGCTACCTGCTCGTCCCTGGCAGTTCAGGCTCTGCGTCCTCTTGCACAATACGGTGCTGGCTAATGGCTTTCCTTGATCTCAATTACAAAAGATCCCTACTCTTTCCCAATTACAAGAGATCCCTTCTCTTTCCCCTCTCAACCCAGTTCCTGTTTCCTTTCGCTTATCGGAACAGACAAATGGGTGGGTCTGGAAACTTTCCCAGAGGTGTCCTCTTGTTGCTGTGTCTTGGCCACTTAGCTTTATTATTTTCTCTTCTCTTTCTCTCTCTTTAATTTCTTTCTTTTATGAGAGAGACAGAGAAAGAGACAAGCGCCCTCAACAGAATCTCACACAGCTGTGGGACCAGCAATTGGCATAATGGCTAAGTCGCTGGGCTCCCATGTAGTCGACTGCGGTTCAAGTCCTGGACTCAGTCAGTGGCTTAAACTCACACCAGGCACGTGTGCATGCGTGCCCAAGATCCCAAGAGAAGAATGGAAGAGAAGGAATTGTGGCGTGGGCATCCCTCCCGGGAGATGATTTCTCATTTTCCCTCACTGTCTTTCTGGTGAGCCCATGTGCCCTATAGCAAAAACCTCTCCAAAAAAAAAGAATCTCACACCGTGATCCTCCCCCTCTAACTTTTCCCAGCCAGCCAGTATTATGAGTACACAAGCCTGTCATGTACAGGTTGACCAGGAAACAGAACCTGGGACCTTCTACGTGGATTCAGGATTGCTTGGGGAGTCTTCAGTGCTGCTGCACCATTGAGCCAGTCCTTGCTTAGCTTCCTTCTAGAGTCGTCCGTGAAAAGAAACGGAATGAAAAACAAAGTTCTGCATTCCATTTCTTGTTTTCTTCCTTCTCTAGTTCTTCTGGAACTTCAGACAGATTCAGCCGAATATTGAAGCACATCCTGACCCAGAGAAGGTGAGCTTATTTACTGGAATCAGCTGACCATGAAGGTCATGCTCTGGGGTCACAGAGCTCAGGCAGGCGTGGTGGTAAGAGCCTTCACTGGGCCACCACCAGGGAACTTCATACCGTGAGGATAAACCTACATTCTATTCCCCCAGATGCAGAGAAAAGGGAAAGGCAGACTGTGAATGCAGCTAGCAAGGAAGCCAGTGACGTAGAATCTAGGAATCCCCGGATTAGCTGCTGCTAACTGTCTCTCCCCATCCTTGTAGCTACTACCCACTCTACCCTCCCCAGGAAGAGATGGCCATTGACTACGAAAATTTCTACACCTACGCACAGCTGCCTGTCACCCCCGACGTCTTGATAATCCCATCAGAGCTGAGGTACTTTGTGAAGGTAGGCTTGAACTCTCTTTTCCTGGAAACACCAGTAGAATCTTGGACTTGCCCTTGTAGACCACCTGGTGCCTAGGCTTTGTGGATTTGCTGATAGGGTCAGGACTCTGCCATCCAGCGCTGAAGCCTCATTTCTTTTGGGGTGCTGGTGGAATAAGAGAACGAATATCTCCAGGATGTCCAGTAAACGTCTCTGCTCTCTTCTTCGTGCCCTGGAGAGCAAGATCCCGAGTGACCGGTAAGAAGGTCTCAAACACTGAACTGTCACAACGGCCATGCAGGAACCTGGGGAGCATTCCACCTAAGCACTTGCCTGCCGCTCTGGGTTCTGACATGACCTCCAAGCCTGCCCCTTAGAGAGTGCTATGAGAAGTTCTTGGTCACTCTGATCTCTGCCGCTCAGACCCTGCTGACCTTTGGGATTGGGTCCTTTACAGGGAATCCACGTAGATCACTCTGTGTCAAATCAGAGCCAGTTCAACCTCAAAGTTTCATTTTCTTTTCCCCAAAGCAATAAACAGCTAGGTCAGGTCTTTCATCCTGCCAAGTCACCTCATTGTGTATTCTTTATTCAAAAAGAATTCAAAGTTTTCTGGTAATAAGTTGACATATTTGACTGAAAATGTGTTTGGTTGCCTTCACTTCCTTTTTTTTTTTTTTTTTTTTT